ATTGAAGTAGCCAGGCACGTGTGCCTTTTGGCCTTTTGTAGGGACTCCTAAAAAGCACCAACCAAACTACGTTGAAAGGTTTCTAATTAACGTAATAGAGTAGTTTAGGGTAAATATTTGCAAGTTATCAAGTAAAATAACATCATAAGTAAAGTAATAAGCGCACGCCTCTATATATTATAGGGTAGGTATCAGAATTTTGCTGCTGTACGCTATTCAATAAACTATTTACTGCACGCATAATAATTATATTAATTAATCAAAATGTTGTTATTCACGTGGGGTTTATTGACTTTCCAAAAGGCGTGAAATATCATGATGTATAATTATATCAGTGTCGGGTATTTAATTAGGTAGATATTTACCATGCATAGATATTACGTGTATGGCAATATAACATGCATGCTCTTTCTTTGGAAAAGAGGCAAAGCCGAAACTCTGGAAATATCTAATAATTTATATTAATTATTACGGAATAAGATTTGATTTACACCTATGGAGTTATAATAAATTATATTACAGTTAATAAGTTCTACAGAACCAACAAAATTATTACTTAGGTACCTGAAATTTTAATCATCATATTATATAACTTTCATAAGTCAAAATTTGTTTGAATTACTATTATAAAGGCTTTCTAAAATATTTAAACTTTTAATAGAAAATTTTAGGTAGGTGAATAATAAATTGTATAACTTTGTTCAAAGTTCTGATTAATATTGTCACAAAAAGAAATTTCATTAATATAAATGATTGCCTTGAAAGCATTGCCTAGTAAAGGCTATTTAAAATAATAAGGATAAGGATATATCTCAATTTAACTTGAACGTGGGATATTTTCTTCTAAAAAAAGAGACATTTGGCAAAATTATTTGGTCATAAGGATTAGCTGATTAGTATGTATAAATTTTCGTTTAGTACTGAATAAAGTACCTACTTATTCATGTATTTATTATATTTCTCTAAATTAAATACAAAGCTAACTTCTGACCCCCCTGAAACTGTTGCAAAATCTAGCTTTATCCAGCTCATTCGATAATATGAGGTAGTTTTTGTGTATTGAGTTATTTGCGATGTGCATTTTCAAAATAAAATTTAAATTAAATTAAATCAATAGCCCGTATAGTAGCAATTCAAATATACCTACACAGAAACTTCTCTTTAATGCAATGGTTAAATGTTCAAATATTTGCATTGACATGCATGCAAACATAGCAATGTTTTAAATGCAATTTTGGTTCTAAAACCATTTATTATTTTCATCTCTTCGGATTTGACGTATATCGTAATGTAGAGTGTTGGACATTTAGTTGTATTTTCGGTTGTAACATGAATGCATGCAGATATTTCGTATTTTTTATTTCGTTTTGATTTCAACTAGAGTTTTATAGATTTTGTGCTGTGTTAAATAGAAATATCCATGAGCTTGGTTTATCAGGAAATTGCTGTAATTACCGTTTCCTGCTTCTCATCTCATCAAATATCACTCATTGGTAGGAAAATATAAATTTTTCAGATGAAACTTTGTGGTGATTATGTACCTACACCTCTTTGACTTTGATGTCGAATCTCATATATTATTTAGTTTAAGATTATTATACTGATTTTAAACCTAAATTAACATGCTTGGTAAAAGAATTGTAGCTAAACGCGCCCAAGTACTCTTTTTAATTAGTTAGATGGTAAATGGCAATCGGTATATTGATGGTGTTTATTTCCTTGAGCGGCTACCTATAAAATTGTGGAGGGGGTCTATTCGCAAAAGATAGAAACAAACTATTGAGGTTTACAAAATTATATTTTATTATACTTAAAACCAAAATTAAAATGAAGCAAATATCTTTCTTTGTCTGACAGCCACTTCTATTTTTCCCAAATCAATTTATTTCACATCCGTTCAAATTTCATTACTACGGACCAGGAATTATCCATACTATAACGCCCTACTTCTTCTATTCTTAATAAGTTCATACATTTACTCTTTTAAACAACACGTCCGATTCACATTCCTATTAAAACTACCCTTCACCTATATCTATATTTTTACAAAAACCTTACAATAATTTCTAAATCAAAAAAAAAAAAAAAAAAAAAAAACCCTAATTCAAAATTTCAGGACTTAAGGTCATCAATGGTACTTCATGAACAATAATTTTCAAACAAAACTTTCCAATACACATAGTGGTTCCCATCCTTCACTAAGGATCATTTTGAACAGAACAATTACTATTTTCGGATTCCTAGCCAACAAACACAATAATTTAAATTCTTATTAGTTCGTTACTATAGCCCTTAAACTTCAATTGGACAATCCAATTCAACATTCTTTAATAATTCCTACTCAAAATCGAATATTGTTAAGAGCATTATAATTTTCCTTTGTTAATTCTTTGCAAAATTAATTAAAATGTCATTATACTAGGAGGCAATTTAAGTTATGCAATAAAGTTTTTTACAGTCAAATCACTCAAGTTTTTATGCATTAAAGTTCAATGTCAATCCACTTCTTATCATTCATCATTTTTAAAGTCAAAAAGTTTTACTAGTCACTAGAGTACTTACATTTAACTTCTCGCTCGTTAAATTACTTAATTAATTTACTTCTAAAATCTCTAGAGCTCGCACATAATTACTGTATTCCTTTTATACATCGAGTTACACCGAACGAGCTCCTCGGAGTCACTCCAAAACCCACAATACAGATTTTATCATTATTTTTTAATATACACATTACCGTCCTTACCTAAAAGGGCTTCTTGCACCCCCCACAAATTTGGTGCATCAGGGAAAAGGGGGATGCCCTATAAACGACTCGAGTGCTTAACGCACTTTTAAAAAGAACTTTCAAACTTTTGACATTGAGCAGCTCCGAGTAACTCAACGGGTAAAAGGAATACAGTAAATGTTGAATGACTAAATGTTTTTTCTTTCACAATTTTCCGTTAATTTTTCAAACTTTAACGCGTTTTCCGGAGGCAACAAAATAAAAGAAACTCTTCGCGAATTTTAACCGGACTGACTCATTAGGTACTGAAGATGTAACTCAAACTGGACTGAACTTAAACTAAACTGATCTTCTAAAATCCCTGTATTTATATTTTTCGATTCCCCCAAAATATTATTAATTACACACCAAAATCGACAATATAGGCGGTCGTTTGACCATCTATAATTCAATTCTATTGGTCGACCTAGATATTACTCCAAAAATAAAACTTTTTCATTTAGAGGATTATGCAATCTGTTCGAAATTTTTGTCATTTTGGGTCCAATTTAATTAGGTGCTTGTAACCTAACTGTAACCTTGTAATTGATCTTTTCCGGGTTTTTATCTACGAGTTCAAATGATGACACGTGCTTGGTCACTGATGGCTTGTTTAAAATTTGAACATATCGATATAAATATTTTAATTTATTTGGGTCAATGCTAATTTGTTTCATTTTCAGTTTATTGATACTGATTTGAAATACAGGAAATTCAGTTTTTGATTATTTGATTACATTTAATTTTTACAGTTAAGACATTGTAAATTACGGGTCTATTTTCCCAGAATGACTAGTTCTTATACCTAACAATGAATTAGTTTATGTGTGTCTCTATTGGCAAATTTCGATCGAGTACCTACTTATTTTTTTTTTGCAACGATAGAGAAGATGAAAGCTGAAATTAACATCAACCTATACCGTATACGGTTCCTTAGACCGGGTTAATTGAATTCCATTTTATTCGACCATTCACGAATACATGCCTTATTTATTCCCTTTTTTCAAGTTTGCCAAAAAAAGTAGGTAATCGCTTTTGGAGTGGTTTTGTTAAAAGCTCAAAATAAAGCACTCCGGCTTATCTGAACTCCAATTGAAACCTGTTGCTAGCGACTAAAACAGAAATCGCTAGAGTAGTTGGGCAAGTTGTATAGAGGGTTTTTAATGATGATTTTCCGGACATTTTAATTAAAAGTAGCAACTACTTCCTCTAAAAAACAATTTGTCGTTCAATATGTCGCATAATGCTCTATCATGAAACAAGTTTTAGATGAAAATTGTTTCATTAGCAATGCATTTTTTAATTAAACATTTGTTCAGCGATAGTGAGTACTTAAACGAATGGAAAAGATGTGGAAGTAATGGTTCCAGAAGGCATATGAAATGTCAGATTAATTAGTTCTAGAATAATAACAAAAATTCATCATGAATATTATACACTCAGTTTCATTTAAAATAAGGCACCTAATTTTGGTTGCGTTGCAACTGAAATGCCATGCAACTTAATAATTAAACCAGAATAGTTCAATAGTTTCATCACTATCATGGCTTAAATCTCAAAAAAAAAAGTACAAAAGTTCAAGTTCAAAACACTGTATTTTAGAGTGTTTACTGTTTCATTTCTCATTCGAGTCAAAGACATCCTATCTAAGGCTCTATAGCTGATTGTCTAATTTAGTAGGGAGTTCATCAAGTGTTATTAGAACGGATAGTATGCATCCATTTCGCAAACGTAAGTAGTGTATTAATTAACGGTGCATCGTACCTCAAACTATTGTGTAAGGACACATTATTCAAAAATACTTCTACATTAAAGCGCTGTCTGAACTAAACCTAAATATCCTTCGTATACGAAAAGGGGCCGTCAACCTTACAAAATTGAATTTACCACGCCTCAAGCTTCTATGTGGCAAAGTTGGGACACAATAGCTATACTATGTGGTAATCTATTATGATTAATGATAATTTACTTGTCTAATTGAGTTGTAGCTATTTTGGTAAAAGCTCTCCATGGAGGGTGCAATAATATTTATTCATTTCAAACAGTAATAATTCAAATACAAACTGAAATGTTTGCTATGCTCTCAAACTAATAATTACCTACTTAATTTTGCGATATTCGGCTGATAACAGCAAGTACGTTGTATGTTATTTTGTATACCGCACATGATCAAAACAAGCCATAATAATTGACTCTTTATTTTAAATATACTTATTCATTAACAATTTTTTTCCAGTTGCTGTAGTTGTCGCATTCTTCATCTGCTGGGCACCATTCCACGTTCAACGACTTTACTCAATCTACGCCACATTCCCAGAAGATAAGAAAACTCACTCGCTCTACCTCAAGATTTACGCTATGGTCACCTACATCAGCGGAGTTTTGTATTACGTTTCGGCCACGACCAATCCCATACTCTACAGCATCATGAGCGTTAAGTTCCGGGAAGCTTTCAAGGTAAGTTTAGATAAAATGGAATGAGTTGGTTCCAAAATACGTTATGGTAGATTCAGTCAAATCCGTGAAGTTGCTGAAACATTGAAATATGGTGGTGAAACTAGTTTGATAAGATGTACTGTGGTATAACAACCCCGGGTTCATTCAGTAAGATTGAGCGATGTGAATTTTTATTACCTTTTAAACAACAAATCTTCCGAAATGAAAAACAAATAGGACCTACGTTGTGGAAACTTATTCAAATTTACTTACTGGACATGCGCCCGACATAGCAATTATTTGGGAAATTTAAGGGAAGCTGTGATATAAGAAACGAAAAATTTGTAAAACGTCTAGTTTATTATTATATAAGTAAATCGTACCATTCTCGACCTGGAACTAACGAGGGAAAAGAGCACGGCAGAGAAACCCTCGATCTAACATTCCTCAAAAATCAAAACACACTGTGTCATTTTAATGATAATTGTAAGTCATTTATTCAATAATTTGAGTCAATGATTCAACAATTAAATAAAAGTTTAAATTAGGTACCATCCTTTGTCTTTGTGCTAAAATTTTAATTCCACACAAAATATTCAATCAACACTACCTATATATAATACTGAAGAGTTTTTTGGTTAGTTAGCCAGTTTCCCAGCAGTTACTGAGGTCCCATTCGGGAAGCTACCTGCTATAGTTGTTTTTGAGGCAATATCTCTAGATTGATTATTTTAATTTGTTTGCTAGGATATTCACTCGTCAGGGTAGGAAAATGTTGATAAATTCAACAAGGTCCCTTATGCACGCTGTAAATCCAAAAATCAAAATCTCAGCACAAAAGACAACACATAATTTTTCTAGGTTTTAATTTACTCTTTATCAGTTTAATACAAAATAAAAATAGAAATTGAATAATGAACAATGGCAGACAAGCGTCTAAGGGAGAATCAACAAGGGATAATCAACAATCATTTCGAGGTTAGGCTGCTAATGTTTAAACAAAAATTGTTTTCTGAGATTTTCGTATTTTACTATAAAATAATGTTTTAACAATGTATTTGTGAGTTGCAACGGATACTTCGAGACCAGTGTTTTTCGATGAAGTATATGAATCTCTTTTATTGGTGCGTATTTTGCTGCATAGTCTGCTCACTTGACTTGGGGGCTGACGATAAGCTAATAGTTACGTGTGATAGCTGCAGAGAGCGTACACACAGTGCTGAGAAATATTCTGGACTTTCCACCTCAGAGAATAAAGCAGTTATTTTGCGTACACTGTTCTACTTTTGCCATGGTTGTCGTGATGCAATTAAAAGCGTTCCTGTTATGGTGAGAAAACTGATGAAGATGGAGGAAGATAGTTATTTTGGAGAGAGAGAAGTCAGCAGAGAAGTCGTTGAATGCTGAATCAATTGTTTACGAGGCTGGTCAACGTGTTGCTCGAGCACAGAATCTTATGGTGTATAACGTTCCTGAATCTGACTCTGAAAGTCTTGAAGTGCGAATTAGCCATGACAAAACTGTTATTACCGAAGTATTCACCAGATTAGGTTTACAGCAGGAGATTTCTTCCATCAAAAAAGTGGTTCGCGTTGGCCTGACTAGAAACAACAATACCAAATCAAGACCAATTAATGTTATCTGCAATACTGTTGATACCGTGAGGCTGGCAACCAAGTCGGCAAAAAGATTGTTGGGTTCCAGTTATAGAATTTCGGCTGATCAGACACCTATGCAGCAGGAGGCTTACAAGAAAGCTAAATTAAATCTTGAAAGTAGAAGGACAGCTGGAGAGACGAATCTAATCATCAAATATCGCAATGGATTACCTGTTGTTGAAGTTAAAGAACAAAAAAACAGACCTGCATTCCATTAACAATTTATTCTTAGGTCTAAACTAACTGATCTCTTTGAAAAAGTAGCCTATTGTACATATGATATAATTGTTTTTGTGGAGAGCAATCTCAGCAGTGACTTTTCAGACAACGAAGTGAACTGTGAGGGCTTTAATCTATACAGGTACGGCAGAACTAGCAAAAAATCCAGCGGTGGAGGATTGTTGAGATTTATTGGCAAAAAAGTGCAATCAAGTTGTATTAAAATAACAGAGGATAGAGTTGAGCAGTTGTATATCTTTTGCCAGATATATGGAACAAAATTTGTTGTGGGTTGAGTATACATACCCCCTCAATCGCCCCAGGAATATTATACTTGGCACTGTGCAACAGTTGAAAGTGTATTTCAGCAGTTTTCTGAGCTGAATGTGTACCTGTTAGGTGATTATAACCTACCAAACGCAAGCTGATCTAATGCAGGGATGCTATTTCTAGTACAATTGTACTAGATCTAGCACAATCACGTTTCACCTAGTACCTCTCTCATAAATCTAGTACAATTTGGATTACGAGTCGAGTGTCGCTCTTCGCTCTGTACCGTACCCGAGTTCTGCGCTCCACTCTCTACTTGTGGGTTGGGTTTCACGTTCCAGGTCCCACTACAGTGCGGCTAAAGCCAAACAAGAAATTGGCGTTTCGAATATGAGGCAATTTTTGGCGAGGATATTCAAGCATAATCTGATTATGCTGGGTTATGTGATGTGTCAATTGTGTCATACTTCCCTAACTCCCTCTCCATCAAATTCTGGGCCTGCGAGTGTCGTCATTATCAGCAGAAAATAGCGATGACGCCACCCGCAGACCTCGATCGAATACTTGCTTCAGGCTATGTTAGTGAGTTAATTTTTTCGTCGATTTTAAATGTAGAAAAGGTGATTTTCGATCTGTTCTCATAGAACAAATTAAGTGTTCTTGATCCTCGAGTATCCCAGAATTTGATGGTGGAGTAGTTTTTTATTCTGTGACTTGACGTGTGTCATGTATCGGTTGTTATTCGGTTATTCAGCGGATCATGGTAATCGGTAGTCGATTTATAACTATGTAAAAATTTATTTATTTCTATCATTCAGGTGATTCGGGGCCGGTTTCTCAATAGCCAGAGCGAGTCACCTCTAGGTTAAGGATAACTCTAGGTTAAGGATAACTCTAGGTAAACATTGCAACTGGACACGTCTAGAGTTAAAACCAACCAGCAGCTGACTGAGGTGACTCACTATTGAGTGATATTTACCCCCATTTAGCAGAGTCTACATTTGTATTCAAATTTCAAAATTTGATGCGCTTCCAGCTAGTACACAATGTCGCCAATCTAGTACAATTATTCCCTACTTTCTGGTACAATTTTTTTAGTGCTGATAGCATCTCTGGTCTAATGATGACTTCGGAGCACTGGTGCATTGTCCCAGCAATGCAGGTAGCCCAATCCTTCGGCTACCTCAAGTTGTTTCAAAATAATAGGATACCAAATAATCCTAATGTTTTCTTGGACTTAATATTTTCTAAAGTTAAGGATTTAGAAGTAAGGAGGGCTAGTGATTTGCTTTAAGATATAAACTTCCATCATATAAGCTATGAATGTTCAATTTCAGTGTCTCTAGATTCTAGGTCTGACAACTTGATTTATGAAGATTTCTACTATGACTTTCGCAATGGTAATTACATGGAATTGAATAACTACCTTGCTACTATTGATTGGGTAACATTCTTGAGTGGTGAAGATATTAATGAATCTTTTTTATGAATGTCTGACAACTGGTATCTCAAATTTTATTCCACTGAAACGGTTCCGGACGTCCTCTTTCCCAAAGTGGTTTTCCTCGGCATTACGCAAACTAACCCTGGAAAAAAAACATGCACACTTTTGCTATGTAAACGACCGGTCTGATTTAAATTATATGAGGTTTTCTCAGCTTCGCTCTGAGTGCAAGAGGTTTTCCGATGCTTATTTCAATAGTTATAACAGGGGCTTTGACATGAGATTGAAGGATGATCCTAGATCGTTTTGGAAGTTCATTGGTGACAAGCGCTCTAGTCATAGTCTCCCTAGTACTCTTTTCTATGGTGATGAAACTGCAAAGAATGGTCAAGATCTGTTTAAAAAAAAAATTCAAACGGTTTACACAAGGAATCAGGACTCTCCCTTCTCTTCTTTTTCTCCTGAATATATCAACACAAATATTGGCTCTAATATTTCATGCTCTAACATATCAAGGATGGATATTTTCAACGAAATTTGTAAACTTCCTGATAAACTTACATCAGGGCCTGATGCAGTACCCAACTTCTTGTTGAAAAAATGTGTTTGTACGTTTGTTCTGCCATTATATATCTTATTTAATAAATTTTTGGACTGGTCTGTTTTTCCTGATGTCTGGAAGAGTAGCAGTATTGCTCCAATATTTAAGAGTGGTGAAAGAGAGAATGTTGAAAACTATCCTGGTAGGTAAATGTATACAATCAGCCATACCAAAGCTGTTTGATTTTCTTATTAGCAAACAATTAGCTTGGCAATGCAAAGGTCTTATTTCACAAGAACAACACGGATTCTCTCAAAATAAATCAACTGCAACCAACTTAATACTTAATCATTCTGCTATCTTGCAAAATATGGAAGCCAGGAAGCAGAGACTCTATATATACAGATTTCTCTGAGGCTTTTGATCGGGTTGATCATCGGGTGCTTCTCCAGAAACTGCATAAATTCGGCTTTCACTCAAACTTTGTATCGTGGGTTGAGAGCTCGCTTACAGGTCGTGTCCGGCATGTCAAAATTGGTTGCTTCAGCTCTGAGACTATTCAAGTAACGTCTGGTGTGCCACATGGCGGACACTGTTCACCCTTGCTGTTCAACATTTTAGTGAATGACATTGTGGATTGTTTTATAAATAGTGAATGTTTATTGTTCCCCAATGAGAGCGGTTGAAAGCTTTTCCGACCAGGATCTTTTGCAGGAGGATTTGAATCGCTTGGCAAAATGGTGTGAAATAAATAAATTATATTTGAATGTCAAAAAATGTTGTTTTGTGAGCTTTACCCGCGGATCAAATAAATTTGTAACCAGCTATACCATTAAAGATCAGCGGCTTGAGGGATCTTGGTGTTACCTTTAACGAAAAACTGTCTTTT